TAAATTTATTTAATAAAAAAAAAAAAAAAAAAAAAAAAAAAAGTATGTTACCACTTTTAGGTGGAGCGAAGGAAGCCTCTATGAAATCAATCATGGATCTTTTCATGGGACCAAAAGACAGAAAGCTAATCTATCGTAGCAGTTAATATTGACAAGGAACAGAAGAAGGTCACTTTCGAAACAAAAAAGCATGACCAAATACAGAACCATATACGGTACTTTGTATTCTTCGTGCAATCATGTACAATACTAAGCAGAAGGATAGAACAACCTCGTCAATTCATTAGCACAGGTGTTACCATAGGTGGTCAGCGAATAGTACGTGTCCGACAGAATTAAGCAATAATTGCTCCTAACTAAAGTAGCCGCAACAGATTTGGTTTCAAATATTCCTTTAGGATGATGATGATGATGATCTGGACAGAACTACTGTTGGATCTAGATCCTAATTCCTAAATCCCAATAACTAAATCGAACCTAAACAAAACCATTGTTAGCATTAATTAATGAGATATTAAATTAAATTAACTGACCTAGTAAGCGAACAAGGTTCTTGTGACGGAGGCGATTGATAATGGTGAGTTCCGCCAAGAAATCATCAGCACTTTTCATCTTATCTCTGGAGAACATCTTAACCGCGACTTCCAACTTCTCCTTGGGAAGAGTGCCACGATAAACGACACCGTATCCACCCTGTCCAAGCTTGAGCTTGTCGTCGAAATTATTAGTGGCTTTCTTCAGTTCCTGAAACCTGAACTCTCTGGGAGTTCCAGGTAAAGTCTTGAGAGTCCCCAAAATGTTACTCTCACTTTCCTTATTCTTCCTTCGCAGCCACAAAACCCAGCCAACAAAACACGCAACAATAAGAACCAGAGTAGGAATCCCCACACCCAACCCAATCTTCAGCGCATTTCCAATCCCACCCTTGTCTGGAAAAACCTCAATCGAAATGTTCCACCTCAGCACGCAGTTCAACTCAACGTTCTCACCGGTCGAAGCGGAGAACCCAAAGTAAGAAACCCGGTTCAGCACTTGCGTTAGATCGAGACTCGAATTCAAGACCGGCTGAGCCGGTTTCGCCACGATAGGCGCGTCTTTGTCACTCTGCTCCGCGATGTACACGTGGATTTGTTTCCGGCGGCCGTCGTATTGGACCCAGACGACGTGGAAGCGCGTGCCATTGGGCGCGATCTGGAAGCCCAAGGGGGTGAGGGGGACGGCGACGTTGGACCTCACGCCGTTAACGTCGAGACCGATATGGTTGTCGTCGGGGTCGAACTCCTGCTTGACGGTGTCGAGTTCGACGGCGAGGATTTGGTTGGTGGCGTTGCCGTCGGTGGAGGCGTTGGTGAGGCCGAGGAACTGGCCGTGGCTGTTGAGCGGGGCGGAGAAGAGCGACGGCGCGATGAGGAACGCGATGCCCTCGCCGGGAGTGTCGTTGTTCTTGGGGCGGTACACGTTCACGAGGAAGGAGGTGTTGAAGGAGACGAGCTGGGTGGCGCGGTCGTTCCAGAGAGTGAAGGGGTTCTTGAAGAGGACTCTGCCGGAGCGGTTGGTGAGGACCACGTCGCCGGCGCTGTCGGGGGTGACTTGGATGGCGCCGAGGTGGACGGCGGCGCTGGAGAGGAGCGAGAAGGTGTTGGAGTAGGACTGGTTGTCGTAGAAGGGGCCGAACATGTGGCTCTCCGTTTTCAAAATCTGAGCTTGGGAAGTTGACGCCGGCAATAGGAGGAGGATGGTGGCGACGGCGGCGATGGCGGCGGAGCAAGCTCGCAGGCGGTGGTCGTTGCTGCATTGGCGGGGAAACATGTTGATAGGGTCGAGGAAAATGGGGTGGTGTTGTTAGTAATTATCTAAACAACAACTGTGTTGTTTAGATTTGAATAGTGGCTTCTGTTCTGTACTGGCTTTGTTTTCTACCAACTTTCCATCTTCAACTTCGTCTTGTTTTTCTACGCAAAAGGATTATAAAATTCATAATCAACCTTTTACTGTATAATTTCGACACTTCTCTTAATACACACATATTAAATTTATTAAAAACTATAAAATAATAAAATTCACAAATACAAAAATTATATTTAAAAAAAATGTGTAAGACAATATATGTTAAGTAACACCCCTTCATGTGTAAGGTATTTATTTTGTCCGATTTATTTATGACAATCGTGACTTGAATTTGAAGCTGAATTCTAATGCGCAGCGTGTGTGTGTTTATTTTCTTTTTTGAGTGTGGCAACGTTGATGTATTATTGTATTTGCATGTGGTCTTTTAACTTTGAGCATATGGCCAAATACAGTTGTTCACGATTCGTGATAAGTTTTAGAATTCATTTCATTTTCTTTTGACGCAACTTGGTCTTGGTTTAATATTTTATGGGTCCATAGACACTACACTGCAACACGTTTATTATATTTTCATTCTATTGTTTCACGTCTACTTTTCTAAACTCACTGTAACACTAAAACTCATAATAAGATTTTTGTAGAACAGTAAAATAAAATGACCCGTAAATAATATTTGGATGGCTTTAATAAACGAATTTTGATGTTATTACTCGTATTTAATTAAATTTATAAAACATATAAATTTGATTGTCATCAGATAAATAATAATTATTGTGTTTTATGTTTTATTTAATTAAACATTATTTCTATATAAAATTAGTTTATAATAGATTTTGATTTTAGCTATAGCAAAATATGATTTTAAAATTTATTTATTTTATTAATTGATAATTAGTTATATTGGATGAATAATTATTACATTAAGACTTAATAATCTTAATATAGTTATTTAAATATGCAATAGCAAAACAACACTGAATAATCATAAACAATACGCTTAAAGAATATAATTGTTTTTAATACATAAAAATGGAAATGTTACATCAAAGTATAATTGGAAATAAACTAAAGTTACTTAAAATTATTAGAGGAAAATTTCAAGTTTCTTAATTATTATTAGCCAAAATAAAATTAGTTCAACAAAATTATTATGTTTGTTTTATATATATGGAAAAAAAAATGTCTTATCCTTATTCAATAAAAGGTTAAGAACAAATTTGGTTCTTGCTACAAGTGTTCTTTCTTATTTATTTTTGTAAATGATTGTTTAATATTTGTTGAAGCAAAAACCTTCAAAGTAAAGTTAATGAAAGGAGTGTTGAATTTTTTATTTTTTATTTTTTTTTGTAATTTCACGTGTCAAGGCAAATACTTTCAAATCTAAATTTATCACTTCGAGAAAATATTCCTCGCGTCAAAGTTAGTAAATTTGTTACTATTTCTCTCTTTTAACACACTCGTAATATTGAAAAGTATCTTGGATTTTCAATTCACTTAAAGAAGGTAAAAAATAACTTCAATTACATCCTTGATGGAATAAATTCCAAATAAAAGGTTGGGAAATGAAGACTTTGAACGGAGCAAACTTACCCGTTAACATTTTTAGAGTCTTTAGGCATCTGTATATAGATTTTTCTTACAACGGGTACAACAATGGACAAGAGTCTTTAACAGGTGCTTAGAAATTGTAGTTATACATGACAAATTTAGCAACATTTAAAGTTAGATCAAAATAATAACTTCTATAATATGGACTTGCATGAGTGACTCTTTATAATTTCCACCGTGAAACAATTAAAATGTTTGCAAATACATGTTAGATAATATGGAAAGCAAGGAACATAACCATCTTTGAAGATATCAACTAGGACATGTGGAAGACATCAATCAAAGTCGAATTCTCTTGGTGAATATTAGTAACTCTCTTTACAAAACCTTGAAGATAAGGAAAGTTATAATAGTAAAATAAAAATTACCAATTTTTTCAGTTGTCAAATTGAACACCAAGGGTAGCTTACTAGGTAACTCGTGAGGTGCTAAAATTGGAGGTATAATTTGTAACTATAATGACCGATGTGTTTCAGGTTTTTTGGACTGTTGTGAGGTCTCTATCAATCTCAAAGCAAAGTTGTTAAATATCTTTTATGAGCTTAAGAAAGTTTGGCATGATAATATTTACAATCTTATTTATGAATCAAATTTCTTTGTGACCTTGAAATTGATTAGTAAAAATGACAATATTTTTCATCTATATTACTCGCTTATAAAGAGGATTCAACATTTTATTTTATTAAATTTAATTGTTAGCTTTAAACATGTCATTTGATAAACTAATTTATATAAATATATTTTTTTTGGCATAACATGACTACATGACTACATGCGAGATGAATCCATCCAAGTTTGAGCAAATAACTCTCCCCAATTTACTTCTCTTTTGCCCACTAATCCCATGTCTATCTTGCATGTTATAGTTATTTTTATTTTGTGTTTATATTTTTTAAAAAATAAAATAAAGTATTATGTCTTATTCGTGTACTAATTAATAGCAGTGACTTATTTCTTTCATAGAAACAATTTTTTAAAAGAAAAAACAATAATTATAAAATTTGGAAATGTTTGTACTAATCTCGATGTAATCGTGGTTATAATTCTTGTTCACACGAGGTGTTCAATCTTGGCATCTCGCTAATACCAGATTCTTTACGCGACGCGGAGATGGAAAATCATTTCATAAATTCTGTCGCTTTTTTCTTTATATAGTTGGATAATTATTGAAAGAAATAATCATAACTGTTGACGGACCCCACTTATTTAAGATTCTTCGTATCTTTTTCTACTTTTATACAACTAAGTTTGATGAACAAAAATCTTTTTTCTTCCTATCAATTAGAGAGGGGCAAAAAGAACTTTCATTTCATCTCTATTTTTAAATATTTTAAACTAAAATTTGAAGTTTTTTTTATTAAAAACATCATATTTTTTTTATTTATTCTCTATTATAAAAAAATTATTTTATATATTTAAGACATTAATTATATATTAAATTTTACTAATTTTATAATATTCTTTTTAAAATTACTTTTTTTTATAAATAAAATAATAAACAATTCAATTAAAAAGTCATACATTAAAAAGAACATATTTTGAGAAGAATATTATAAAATTAGTAAAATTTGATAAAATAATTAATGTCTTAAATATATAAAATACTTAAATTATATTTTTCCCTCTTTATTTTATATTTAAAATTTAATTTAATCTCACTATTTTTATATAATTTAATTTAATCTTCTAATTTTTTTTAATATGATACGTAAATGGCAATTGGAGAATGTTATGGATTACCAATTGAGTACAAGAAAAAAAAAATTGCTTTTTACTCATTTGTTATATTGTTTTTATGAAATAATTTATTTATTAAATAATATTATTTTTATTTTTATTTATAAGGCTTAGCTTAGAATAATTATCTATTTATTTATATAAAAATTGATTTATATTATTTTATATATTAATTATTTTTAAATTAAAATACTCTTAATTTAGTAACATGTAATAATTGTAAACTTTTCAAAGAACAAATACTTTAACTTGTTAGGAGAAAAATAGGTATAATATAAAATATAGAGAAAATATAATTTAAGTATTTTTTTTAATGTGATGTGGAGTACCATTTATGGTGATTGGGAAATGTTGTGGATTACCAATCAAGCACAAGATTTTTTTTCCTTTTACTCATTTGTTATATTGTTTTTACGAAACAATTTATTTATTAAATAATATTACTTCTATTTTATTTATAAGATTTAACTCAAAATAATTATTTATTTTTTTTATATAAAATTTGATTCATGGTATTTTATATATTAATTATTTTTAAACTAAAATACTGTTAGTTAAAGTATATTCTCTTAATTTGGTAACATGCAATAATTGTAAGCTTTTTAAAGAACATGTACTCTAACTTGTTAGGAGAAAAATGAGTATTAATTATGACTTGTGAGAGATAAATAATATAGAATATGTAATCTAATTGATTAAAATATATATGAATATTAATTAAGAAAGAGAAGTAGTACAATGATATTTTTAGAAAGAAATAATATATAAAATAAGATAAATTTATTATCATCAATTAAGTAATTGAATCTTATATATAAGAAAAGAGATAGTAAACTAGTAATTATTTTCAATTTTAATATAAAGAAAAAATTGTTTATGATCTTTATGTAAAAAATAAAAATAAGTTGTTTTCAATCCTTGTTAGATTTCTTATTCGATTATTTTTTTTACTAAATTATATTTTTATTATTTATCTTAAATTCATTTTAATTCTTTATCTTTTAAGTTTATGTTAGTTTAGTTCTTTTCAATCTTTTTTAAATTAATTCAAAACTTGAAATTTATCTAGTAAGATTCACTTGTATAAAAATTATTAAATGCAATTAAAATTTAAATTAAATATGTTATAAACATAGTAAAAATAAAAAATTTTAAAAATATAATTTCATATTATTTTCTAACTATTCACAAGATATATTTTTCACACCATTTATACTATGTGTTATAGTTTTTTTTTTAATTTAAATATCAATTACATTTAATAGTTTTCATATAAATAAATTTAATGCTATAAATTTCGAAATATTAAATTAATCAAATTTTGATTCAAAAATTGTGTCACAAAATTAAAAATATTTTTATAATAAGAGAATAAATTAATTTAAATATAAAAGATAAATGTCAAAATGAATATTTTAATAGATATAGAGTCAAAATAAAATTAAAAAATGAGATAAAAAATTAAAATATAATTTAATATATTTCTTTAGTATATTTGAGTGAGCGTTTATTTACGATGTAGGTGAACGATTATAAATTGTGTTTTTTTAATTAAATTGATTTTAAGTTAGTACATTAGTTGGTTATTTGATTTTTGAAAATTTTTAAGTAAGTTTGTAATTGAGTTATTGAATTTCAACTATTTTTATAATTGAGTTTTTTTTTTCTTTCTCAATAATGTTATAGTTGGGAGGTAGTACATTAGCGGTTTTTCTTTTTTTTTTCCGATAATTTCAATCCGTCATGAAATACTTTCAAAGATGCGGTGCATTTAGTTGTTTTAAATAAGATTTTGTATCCGAATTTTGTGAACTACAAAAATTGTAGTTGATAAGAGAAATCTCACCAAAAAAGTTGATCGCACAGATTTTCGATAAAAATTAATTATTAATAAGATTGATAAGTATTTTAAGATTATAAAAGAAAGACCTAATTATAAAATTATAGAAATTGAAGGATTATTATAATTTCTTAATTTAAGAACTTAGTTAAAAATAAAAAAAATTAAAGGACCTTTACTGTATTAAATATTTATATAAATTAATTTATATATAAGTTAATTTTATTTTTTGAAAAAAGTGTAAAAATATTTTTAGATAAATTTACATACTATCTAGTTAGTTAGCATTTTCTGAAATGTGAAATATTTGTTTATTATGATCATTTATGCACAGTCATTATCTTGCATGAAAATTTCTCTATATACAATGGTGTAATCCTTTTTTAGTAGATTAATGCAAATGCAATTTGTTCTTCACTAAAAGTTAGATTAGTAATTATCTTATTATTATAACAAGAAATAATTGTAAAACAACAAGGTTTAACACAGAGTGTTTGACTTGTATTATGGGGATATATAATTTAGTAATCATTTTATTTGCTTAATTTCATTAAAAAAAAATTCTAAAATTCTGGAAAAAAAAAAAACAAAATAAGAAGGGATTGATCTTAAAATATGACATGTCAACGATTACCGGTCTCCGAACATAAAGAAACAAGGTTTGTTTTCTCTGCTGATGAACCCTAATTGCTCTGTCTTTGAACTTTGAAGGTATCGTTTTTATTATCTCCGCGTTCCCAAATTGAAGATAGAAGAGGACACCTTGCTCAATTAGCCTCTCAAGGTTCGCTCTTTTGTTCCCTTTCTCCTGCATATTCAACCGTGCTTCCTCTGAATTGCACCCCAATTTTTGTTTTGTTTCGTTCTTCTATTCTCTATTGGACTTCAAATTCCCGTTCCGAGAGGAAGGGATTTTTATTTGTCTTGATCGAATTGTTTGTTGTTTCCTCGAATTGAGTATTTGTAGCTTTCAGAAGATCGTGTAAACCCATGAGATTGGAGAGGGGCGAGGTGATCTCAATATGTTTTTATGTATTATATGAGTTGCATTAGAAAAACTAGGTCATGGAGAAAAAAGTGATTGACGTGTGCCTGTTGTTTTTTTCATTCCAAAATTCTAACTATTTTAACATTCTTGTGCTAATGCATGAATTGTTGTTGTTGTTGTTTTTTTTATTTATTATAATCAAGATCGAAGTTTAATTGAGGTGGCCATTTATCAATCGTTTGTTCCTGCCTGTTTTAAAAGGCCAATCAGGAGTTTTTGCATTGATACGGAATTGGTTTTTTTGTTTTTAGTTTTTTACATTCACCGTGGATCAAATTTACTTTAAATTTTTCTGTGTTCATACGTGCCATGCAATGATATTATAAATGGTTTTTGCGTTAATAACCTAGTTTTAACTTTCACTAGTTTAATATAGTTGTTTACATCAACTAGCTTAAGATGTATGTGTTGTTATCGTGTTATTTTTTCTTATTCTGCAGTGATAATTGGTGAGAAATGCAAGATCCAAGGATTCCTTTGTCAGAGGAGATCCTGAATAATAAACCGAGGAAGAAGAAAAACTCAACTCAAAAGGCATCTTTATATCAGTTGCAAGGGAATGGTGTCAAGGAAGATGGACATGCATCCGTGTCTTTGAAATCAGGACAGAAGGGTTCCAAGAGACACTTGATGACTGAAGTCTCGCCACCTTTTCAAAAACAAGAAGGCTCCAATTCAGATTCATTGCCTGATTCCTCTGCAGCTGGAAATGAGTACCGTGCCTTGAGGCGGAAGTATTTGCTGCTGGAGGATGAGAGCTTTGCATTAGGGGAAGAGCTAAGAGAGGTTGAAGGTGAGGTGAAAACCCTTGAAGATGAAAAGATTGCACTGCTGGATCAGCTTGTTGTAATGGAAGGCCTTGTTGATCCATCGGAGATGCACTCATAGTGTTTGCATTTATGTTAACACTTTGCATGTCATTTCATGTGGTCATGGGATGCCTAAAATAGAAGTTACTGTTGGCTCCTTTTGTCTAGATCTAGAAATTGGATGGATAAAAATCATCTGTAGAGAGTTTATGTGTGAAAATTCTTGTTCACTATTGTCTAGGATGCAGCAGTACTTTGATAGTTATGTCTTTAGTTATAGTAAATTGTTCATATTTTTGCTTATTGTTGTTGTTTTTCGTCTGGAATCCTATAAGTTCTATGCATTATGGTATACTGTTTTAAAAGGCTGCTAGATTCTGTCATTGGCCAATAAACTTGGGGCTCAACTAGGCATCCAAGTTTACTGTCAATTGTCAAATGTAAGGGTGATGCAATATCACTCATGAAAGTTGTGGTATATTTTCGCTTCTGATATGTATATAGTTTTACTATTTGAACATCTTGCAGCTAATGAATTGTGACATTTCGCTTCTGACACTTGTGACATTGGTGGTTTATGCAACCAATAATGTATAAGAGAAAACGTTAACATTTTTAAATTTCCGCAATGTTGGCGTCAGTAAAATATTTAGTTATATAAAACAATTTGAAATTTTCCTTAAAAATAGCACGCGGCAATTATACAGGGAATGTGGAATTCTTTTTAATTAGCTTTATAATTCTATAAATATTAAATAAACTTACGGTTCATTGAGCAAAATACGTGATAACTTGCCTTTTATTTTTAAATAAAATTTTCATTTTAAACAAGTAAATAATTATATAATTATTTAGAGATAAAAATATTCAAATGATTACCACACTATCTTATCCTATTTCGGTGGGAAAACCTTTACCACTTTTCATCATGTGTTTGGTATCACTGCTTGCTTCAAGTATATAATGGATTGCATCAAGCTTTGATCATGACTGATTGTTCTAGACTTGTGATATAGGGATCTCACAGGTCCTAAATTTATAAACAAATTTGCAAGCATTGTTATCTGACCAACACACGACTTGCTGGTGCAACCCTGACAACTATAGGACTGGTGACCTGTGATTTTCTGTTTTTCCAAGACAAGAACCCAAATGCATATTCCTTTGAGGGAGTGGCCACTTTGAAATTCACAGTGAACTTGATCTTCTGTCCTACTCTTGTGAAGACTAACCGATTTGGCACAACAGTAACATTAATTCCAGCCGGAGACAACACTGTTGCTTTATATATACTTCTTGCTTCTCCTACATTGGTCACAACTCGAGTTACTGTAAAGTTGTCTTCAAGATTCGGCACTGAAATAGATGGATAATTGAGGTCAGATGGTGTTTTGAATGCCCTATCACAGGTGCTGTTGTCTCTTGTGACAAGATGGAGTGACCTCTCATCATAACCAAGTGAACAGAGGAACGCTACAAAATCTTGTGGATGTGAATCATAGACAAGACCAGGATCTAGAACTCTTGCAGGGTTCGCAAACCCTGATCCATAATCAAATGCATTAGCCTTTCTTCTATGAGGATCTGCTCTAATGGGTTGGTGGTGCTTGTCCAGAATTGTTGCTGCATATTGAACTTGTGATTAGTTTCTCGAGTAGAAATAGTGACAGATAAAATTTACTATATAGTTTGTTACGAAGAATTGCAAACAAACTGCATTGGGTAATCTATGCCTCTACATATATGTAATACCAGTTGTCATGATAGCGGATTTGATAGCAGAAGGAGACCATGAAGGATGCACAGCTTTGACCAAGGTTGCAATTCCAGTAACATGAGGACAAGCCATAGAAGTTCCTGATACAATATTGAACTTCATTCCAGCTGCAGCTGGAGACCATGCTGCAAGGATGTTTAATCCCGGAGCTGTAATATCAGGCTACATAGCAGTACGGCCATAAATCTTTCAGGATTAAGTTAAATGAAAACAGTGGCAAATACATGACAATAGTCTAGCTTGGATAAACTTTTCAACAAATACTCACGGAGAAGAATAAAAAGAGGTAAAATGAATCAAAATTCTTTCATAAGTTAATTAATTATTAATCAACGCACCTTTGCTAAAAGCTCTCTAATTTTTACAAAAGTTATATTACATAACTTGATTTAACTTAAAAGAAGTTTTATTATATCTTCTTATTTCTTTTTCTATATGTTCCGGAGGACAAATTTATTTAATCTAGTCATTTTCACCTTCAAAATTTCTGGGGTTAATGAATTGGGGCCTTTAGAAGAAAATGCTGCTACACGGGGTGCAGGCTGAACTCCTAGTACTGTCTTAGCTCTGGAAATCCTTGACATAGGCACACTGTTCAGCATAACATGATGCTGAGTTAGAGAATGCAGAATAACAGAAATACTTAATAACTATATCTATTTTATCAAATACAAAACAACTAACCGTGTGCCGTTGATATAGGACAGAATCCGTTCTCCTGTTTTCGTTCCAACAACAGCTGAAGGTATCACAAATGGGACAGCAATACCTTGATTTGCCTCATCAATGAGTATCATCCCAACAGCACCTGCCTCTTTCACTATCTTACTCTTTTCCAACTTTGACTCGGTTGAATCTTCCGCATGTCGACACACAAGAACCTTCCCTTTGGCCTTGGTCTTATTTAGGGAACTATCCACACAGTAACTGCAGAAATGTAGAAAAGAGGACACATTTTAACTTAAAACCCATCCCTTCACTTTAAGTTTTAGGCTGTTCTCACTTTTAAGTACCTTGTGCTTCACCTGGATTGATAAGGAGTGAAGTATCCTGCAAAGGCTTCAGATGCATCAATCAATCTTCTGGAGACATTCATTTCCAGGAGGCCAAGACTCTCACCCTGCTTCCATTATAGAGAACTAAATAGTAAGCCCGTTTGGATTTTTTGGATTTTAGAAAGACTTTTGAGAGTTTCTCTATTATAAATAAAAAGTACTTTTTAATAAAGAAACTTTTAAAAGCCTTTATAAACATGTATCCAAACATACTCGGTGTTCCCCAAGTGCGCAAAAATACACCATTACAAAGTGATCAAGCTTTACCGTGATGTTAACACCATGTCCTAGTGTGATATCAGAGGTGAAATCCCTATCCATTGAGCTAGCACCAACTGTGATCATCCATGGTGCGACATTCGTTGCTGAACCAGGATTTCCTTCATTCCCAACAGATGCTACCACCAGCACTCCATGCCTAGAAGCATGGAATGACCCCACAGACATGGCATCACTGAAATAGTCACCTTGGGGAGCTTCAGGACCAAGAGACAAAGATATAATGTGAACACCATCACTTATGGCATCATCAAATGCAGCTAGCAAGTCCACATCATAGCAACCAGAGTCCCAACATGCTTTGTACACAGCAACCCTAGCCATAGGTGCACCTCCCCTTGCTCCTCCAGCTCCTAGCCCCCTATAGTTCATGTTTGCCACGTAGCGTCCTGCTGCTGTGGAAGCTGTGTGGCTACCATGACCTGAGCTATCTCTGGCAGATCTGAAAGAGACTTTTCTCTCTGACCCTTCTTCTGCTTCATGTCCACTCATGTAGTATCTTGCTCCTATCACTTTCCTATACCATAAATGATTGACCAATGAAGATAACACAACTGTTAGCTATTGCACTCGAAGTCAAACTTGAAAAAGATGAGGATATGATTCAACCAGAAACCTGTTGCATGATGAAGCATTGAATGCTTCTCCTAATTGACATTTGCCCTTCCATCCCCGGGGCACCGGGGGCATGTCGGTGTCTCTAAAACTTGGGGATTCGGGCCAAATTCCTGTATGAATTGTGACTAATCATTATGAGTAAACCCAACTATGACTCTCACTGTTAACAAAATTTCAGCACTATTATTAAGAGTTTGGATAGGATAGAAACTCTAAGAGCTTCTCTAAAAATAAAATAAATAAATAAATAAAAACTTTTTATTTACAATAGATAAGTTCTTTTAAACTGGTAAAGTGAAACATGCAGTGAATAAAACATATTGAGGTTTAATTTTAAGTCTTTAAAGATGGTTTATTTAATTAAAGGAGTTTCCATAAGCAAGAATGTGACTACCACAATGATGTCATGTAAAATATACTTTCCTTTAGCTGCTATTCCTAAAAGTAGAGGGATAAAGATACATAGTATAGAGAAATAAAATAAAGTGTAGAAATCCTTGTGAACCGACTAATAAATATCTTTCACGGAACTTTGAAGAAAAGGTGCTTGTTGTACGTATGGGTTAAGAGTTTGCTACGAAAAGTTATCGTAAAGGCTTCAGCTTACAGTAAGAGAAAGACTACTCACCCGTGTCAATGAAACCAATGATAATATTTTCTTGGTTTTTGGTGGAGTGCCCTTGAAACTCCATTGAATCGTTTTCCAAAAGTCCCATAAAGTCCCATGAATGAGTGGTGTGAAGCTTTCTTTTAGCATTGGGAAAAACAGATACCACTCCTGGCATCTCTGATCAAATTTGAAAATGAACAAAAATTTACAAGAGCCTCTAAATATTAAAAAGTTCAAGGAGTGAATGAACATTGTGTTTATTCGTTAGGAAAAAAAAAAGGTGGAAATTTCACTGACTTGAAATTTGGTAAGCCTGTTCATCAGTCAACTTGGCTGCAAAACCTCTGAAACCATGTCTATAGCTATAAACATGAGAAGCTTGAGCTTGCTCAATACTGTTAAAAATATTCCCAACAATTAAAAAGGAAAATCATATATCTGATGAAATAATACTGAAAAAGAAAAGAAAAAAAATCAAAGAAAGTTGGTATTAATTCTGAGTTCTGACCTTCCACTGTGAACAACTGCAAGCATTTGATGATGGTGCTTCAGAAAATCATCTGCGTCTTGGCCAGTTTTGCTTCCCATGTACACTACATAAACCTGAAAGTGCCACACAATCTAGATTCCATAATTTGCTTTCATGTCACCCACAACAAAGATACTCGAAAAAAAACTATACCTTAGAAGAGAAGCAAAAGCCAGTTTTTACAACAAGCACTGCAAGAAACAGATAAAAGAAGGTACTGCTGCTTCTAGCATAACTGAAATATGACATTGTTATGTCCCAACCTTTGGCTATATTAACATATAGTTATAGGACAAAAGATGAAATGAGAACCGGGTTCTACGAATGCAAAGGGACACAGAAAAATGGCTGACCGACTCAGAGTGATTAATATTGAAAATATGTATCTATCAGAAAAGGGGAGGTAGAATTGGAATAATGGTTGCAGTTGTAACATTGATGTTTGTTACGTAACGTAGGTGTGTGTCATGTCATGTCATGTAAATTCAATTATATAAGAGCAAAATGAAAGGAGGAAGCAAATGAGATGGAGAACGTGGAGTAGTTGTGGATACAAAGGTTATAAGTAGTGGGCAAAGGTTTGAGATTATGACAGATAGAGAAAAGGGAGTGTTGCTTTTGGAGCATGCCAAAGCAACCGCAAATCTCCCATATTTCCTGTGAGATCGTAAAAAGCAATGTAGTTTCA